TTCAGAGACAGACCTCCAGTTCTTAGCAAGCAATTCCTTTCTCAGTAAATCAAAGGCCGGTGTGTCTATGGGTTGCTCCTTCCTTAAACATAATTAGATGCACAAAGAACAGCAGAGGACCCCATGGGAGAAACCACAAGAATGTTTGATAAAAGCACGTATGACTTCACTTAACCCCCACTTGCAGGCACAGATTGTTCTTAGAATGGAATAGTACTAACTTGCCGTAGAGAAAAGCAGACATTTAGAGAGTTAAAATAGCCAAAGTTGTGGACATTTTAGCAACTGGTAGTCAAGTGCTTTGAACTTAGTACTTCTGTCCCTTGTTGCATATGAGAATCACATGGATGCTTTTAAAAAACACCAAGGATGTGGCTCAAATGGGCTTTGCATGTATGAGAATCTGGGCATGCTCCCCAGCCTCATGTGATCCTGAGCACTATTGAGGGTGGATTCCCAACACTAAAAGAGCAAAAGCAAAACATTGATCCTTGAACTCCATTCCAGGTTGAATAATCTGAATCTCGTGGGGATATAATTCAAACTCAAGTAGATTTTAAATCTGACCGGTGCTACTTGAGTCCAGGCCCATGGTTGTGCTATGGAACAAAAAAACACATAAAAGTACATTTTAAAAGTGATGCTAAAAATTAATTAAAAGGAGCAACACTAAAATTATTACAGATAATTTAACTTTTAATTCAAAACTTAGTCATAGCTCTTATGAGCAATAGCTTTGCAATTTGCAAAGCATTTTCACATAACTTATTTTTGCTGATTTTTTTTGGCAGAGTTGGGAACCCATTACTGTATCAACTGGTGGTGAGACTGAGAAGGGTGAAATTATTCTTCCTGGAGCTGACTCAGTAGGACCAAGTGGTGCTAGAACTCAAACCTGGAGCCTTAGCCTACATGTGGGCCCTTGGAGATATCCTCACACATATTTTAGTTGATTCTTACAAAATTCTCTGAATTCTTATATTGAAGACAAAGAAACTGAGGTGAAAGAGATGGGTAATCTGCCAAATTTCCCATTCTGGTGCTCACATGAAGTGTTTTTTCAATCAAGTCCTGTGGTTCAAAGAAGCCCTGTCATAAACATGGACCCGTCTTCTATGCCCAGCTATCTGTGCATGTAGTTGACTTCTTCCTTGATATTTGACATTGAATTTACAACACTGAGGGAAAGAAAGGGGTGAGGAAATACTAATAAAAGTAGTTTGAAACACATTTTCTCTTCATAGGGGAGAGAGAGGAAAAACAACACCACCAATGACAGCAAAGAGAATTTTAGTGTACCTTTTAAAAAGTATGAATGCAAGGTTCTTGCTAAACATGAACATGAGTGAAAAAGAAAAACAGCTAAAATGAGAAACCTAAGTCCCTTACTACTCAGGGAGTCCACCGGCTTTCAATGATAAGAATGAACAAGCATTTGAAGTTCTCTGTTTGAAACACAAAATGCTGAGCTGGCATATGGTAACTTATGAGACGGCACAGGAGGCCGCTTGGCTTAATGATTTATGATTTATCAGCTTCAGCTGAAAGAAATCTGGGTGTTCATATCACTCAGCTGACCTCACTTTCTTAAAGTTCTTCTCCCCATGCAAGACACTGTTGCCTATTTTCCCTCAGGTCTGCTTCACACCTCAACAGAAGGGAGACCTATATCCTACACAAAGCTATTTTATTCAGAATCTTGGGAAGACGTAAAACTAGAAAATCCTCTTTGTACTCTTGCTAAAGGATGTTTGGATTTAGCTCTGCTACACAGAGAAACAGACAAGGTCTTAGCCTTTCTAGGCCTCAATATTTCCATCTATAAAATTGGTGTATTTATGCTCAAACACAGATCCACATGCACACTGTCTGCACTGTATTACAAGAATCATGTACTTAGAAGAATACTGGGTTCTGGTGTTGCTGTCTTGAGATTCTTAATACTTTTGTAAACAGAAAATAGTTTCATTTAACTCTGGGTCCTACAATAATGCAGCTGTGCCTATTGATAGCCATCTCCCAGAGCTGGTGGAAAGGACAACATGAGATAAGATCTATCAGGTTGTTATGAGGGCCTGGTGCATGGCAGGTGCTGGAAAAAGGCAGACAGTGGATTATTATTTCCACACTACAGAAGCTATGTCTATGTCATCTGGTCATGGATACAATATTACATGCAACTTGGCTGGACAGAGTAAAGTCAAAGACTGAGAGACCAAAAATGATTATTTTGGCCCATGGATTGTATCGCTGCTATTGAATTTCTCAAAGCTCCCAGGTTGTTAGATACTTCCGATGATTCTGCTAAGTACAAGAACCACTGATTAGCAGGGAATTGGTCAGAACACATAGAAAAGAGTGGATTTTCATGAGCAAACACCATCTTATTAATAGAGTTGTGGGGTGGGAACACATATAAACACACAGGGGAGGTGGGAAAGAGGGAGAGAGAGACAGAAAGAGACAGACAGAGAGAGGTCAAGGAGAAATCAATAAAGGGAGCTCTGTCTTTCTGGAGAAGATGGTCTATAGAGTTCTTGTGTAGGAAAATTATTTGTCTAGGACTAGGGGTACAAGGAGATCAAATGAAGAGACAATGTCAGCTTCACGCTATCAAGATGCTGAGATGAGTGCTCAGTTCATCCTGAGCTTTGCCCCGGCTCAATCATGTCATCAAAGCAACCTGCCCCCAGGGATCCTATGATTCAGTTGAGGGTTAAGTTTCACATAATGCTGACTTCTGTCCCTTACCATCAGTTACATCTGGTTATCTCTTTTCAGTCTTCATGAGAAATTTCATTTTCTCAATGAAAGGATAGTGGTCAGCCTCCTGCTCTGAGTCAGCACAGCAGGCCAGAAAGGGCAAGCCTTCCCTGAAGTTGCACTTCACGGACCGCACAACTTCCACAACTAGAGGTCCCATCAACCAGGCATCATGGGGAGCCAGATGGAAGGGATGTGAGTCTTTGAGAAGAGTTACCAGATACCAAGCAGAAAACATAGCCAAGACTGAGAAAAGATGCTCAACAACAAAAATCCGAGCTGTAGCTAGCAATTATCAGGCCCTTAATATATGCCAGGCACTGTGTAAGAACTTTATGCTTGCAATTATCTCATTAACTATGACAGCACCCTGGGGAGTAATTATTATCATCTTCATTTTCCATGTAAGGAAATCAAAGCTTGCAGAAGTAAGTTGATTTATTCTAACTAATGCAGATAGTAAATGTGAGAGCCTTGGATTTGAACCCATTCCATCTGACTCCCATACTGACTCCAAACCTTCAGTAATCTCCTGGTCCCCATGAAGGGGCCCTTCAAGTGGGCTCTGAAATTTTGTTGACTAATTCTTGAACCACAGCAGCTGCTGTTTTGAGAAATAAATACCCCCAACTTTTCCCTTTTCTTAACATATTGCATCTACTATATATCATGAAAGTTCTACATTCATGCTTTACTCTCTCTCTCAACAACTTAAAGGTGACTAGAGATTTAAAATTCCGTAACCATTCTTTTTCTCCCACCAAACCATTTGAGGGAAATATCCAAGAGGGGAGAGAGGAAAAAATTGTTTTTCCTAAAGAAATTGAAAATTATGCTTTTAAATGAAAAACATGTGTGTCATTATTCTTCCTCTTTGGTCTCCTCCTCGCACCATGTTGAAAACAAGCTCACAGAATTCAAATGGACACATTTGCAGGAAGACAGGAGAAAACAGGGGTGTCTCTTTAGTAGACAATCCAGAGGCCATCCTGGGAAATTTTAAGAAATGATGTAAAATCCTATAACAAATTAAACCCAGGTCCCGTAACAATCAGAATTTTCAAGCATGTGTCCAGCTATTCCTGGGGAGTGAGAGCAGGGCAAAAAGAACTCTAGTTGAATTTTCAGCAGACAGGAAGTTCAGTAAGTTCCCTTAAGGCAGTAAGAGAGTTGAGGCAGGACACAGGCTGGAGTCTCGCTATTGTTTCTATCCTTTCCTTCTTCTCTTCTTCTGGCACAAAGCAGTGATGGAATCTCAAAAAAGGGGTCATCATTTTTTAATTCCCTGCTTTCAGCGCAGAGCTCAGTTGATCTTGTTGACTGGCTAAAAATCTGATTTCCTGAGCTAACACTTCCTGACCATTCAGCAGTGGGGGAATAATAAAGTGAGATTGGCCATTCCCACTGGCAGGCCACATGGGATGGTTCCCACAGGCAGGCTGAGGTATGCCCTGGGTTTCCTGCTTTTGAATAGTTCCCAGTTATCAAAGCAGGGCTTGGGAGCAACACTTCAAAGGCTGCCATTTCCCTGGGCTGGTCAAAGAAAGGCTGGCTCCTATAGGAACATCATTGGCAAACTGATCTCATGGGCTAATGGTTTTCTCTAGAGGCTGGATGTACACAGGAGCATGGCTGACACCCCAGGAAGGCAATGGAGAAGCTCCTCTTCAGGATTCCTTGAGGGATAAGGAGAGTTTTCAAGGGCCCACTGAAAGCTTTACCTGCCACTAGGGCTATTTCACTGCATCTGAGATTTCTTCTAGAAGCAGACTGAAAACTTTGCTATATCTGAGCACAGGTTTTGAGGTCTAAATTTCCAACAATGATATAAACATCCCTTGCCATCCCAGGGTCCCAGTTTTCCAGCAAGTTTCCCATCTTGTGGATGTGAGATAATTTCCATCCCTCATTTTTGACCAGGGAAAAGCGTTTCTCCGTCTCTGCAACCACTTCCTTGAGACTGGTATAATTGCACCCCAGTGCAGGCGCTGACTTCAATATTGGTTTCCAATAAACTCTATGCCAGGGAACAGGAAACTCATTGTGAGCGGCTGCATTTCTAAGACTCTTAACACTCAGGCAAGAGGCATCGAATTTCAGCAAGATCTTCTGGAGCATGAACACAAGTGAAAACCAGCCATGGGGTCAAGTCTGGGCTTGCTTTATTTGACCTTGGTTTGTTTTATTTTATTTAGGCAAACTTTTTCACGGGGCACAGGGGACCATAAAATCCTTACCTTTTAAAGGAGCCCATTGTTAACAATTTGTTCATCACAGCTCCCTCGACCTCACCAAAAAAGTCTCCAGTCTGCAGGGAAGAAACGAAGACCCATGAGGAAGTGTGTATAAATAATATGCCCAAACACCAGGGAAGAAATAAAAATGGACACAGTCTGTGTCCTGGGGCTCACAGGAGCAAAACCCAGATTCTTAGGACTAATGTTACATAAAATTGGAAAAGAACTTAAAAGTAGAGGTGAATGCTGCCATAATACATGGCTGGTGTGTGTGTGTGTGTGTGTGTGTCTGTGTGTGTGTGTCTGTGCGCGCGCGTGTATCACACTGAATCACATATGTTGATTGTTGGAATTCACACACCCATGTGCACACAGCACAACACCCTTCGGATGGAATGGATTATAATTTGCACACAATCCCTTGTGACTGAAATAGCACTCAGTATAGAAAAGAGGCGTGCTATATGAGTGAGGGTTTCCTAAGCAACAATAAAAGTAACTTTTTATAATTTCTGTGACCCCTATTAGTGCTTTTCATCTATCTTACATGTTTTCTTCAATTGAGAATCTATGCTTTCTCCAAATCACTGGAAGAACACTGTTCTGCTTTCTCGGGCAGTTAATATGTTGACAAAGAAAAAGCCCCTTGAGGAAATAACCTGGCTAATAAGATACCTAACAGGGACTTCCTATGTCTTGGGGCTGTCTTCAGGCCTTTGAAGCCATGAAGTCCTTCCCTGACACCAGGCGGAAGTATATGTAAACTGCAGGGCGGTAGGTTCAAGGAGTAACATACTCAGGCATCTCTGCCTGGCTTCTTGGGAGAGGGAACAGGCAGCCCCCTCTAGAACTCTAGGCAACAGTCTTCCTTTGCCTACATTTAGAAAGAGTAAGTGGATACCAGTAGGAAACCCCATTTTTACTCTGGGTACTCTGAGGATTTATAGCTTCTGTCCTGGTTTTTGGGAGTGTGGGGACAAATCAGAAGCCAAATTGCATAAATTCTATAGGCCTCGTCTTAGCTAAATCCCAGTGACCTCAGCCAAACTCTTAGGAGCTTTTAAGCACAAGAGTCTCATAGACTTTGCCAAAAAGTCAAAAAAGGAAGAAGGAAATGACCTAAGAGTGACAGAATATGGAGCACTACCTTTTCCAGTTCAGGGACCCTGGAACTTTTTGCAAACTCTATGGGTGTGTAAATGCAAATACACTAGTGTCCTATGGAACTAGTTGTTAAATGAAGAAGAATTTTCCTAATTGGGGTGCAGGAAATAAGACAACAACAAACAAGTCCAGGCAGAATTTTCTGGCAGAGTTCCTTAGGCAGAATTGCAGGATTGTTCCACAGAAAGAAAAGCAGGATACAGAGCTCACCTGGAGTTCCATGGCTTCTAGCAGGTTGTTTTAGAGGCTCATTTTATTGGCTGGTTTAAACTCACCCCTAGAAGATACCCATTATGCCCTTCCTATGCCTAGGAAGTTTTTGTTTTGTTTTGTTTTATCTCAGTGTCCATCATAATGGCAGGAATTTCCACTCCCCACCCCCACCAAGAGATTAACTTGAGTTACTACTCCATCAATTCTTGAGTTCCTTCCTTTCGTCCTCCAGATCAAGGGCAAATAACCATATGCCATGGGCATTCCTGCTCCCAAGAGTAAGGCCTTGTTTCATGGGCTCACTGATCTGCTGGATGTCCATCATCTATCCAAAACCCAGAAATGTCCAGCATGGGAGATGGCATATGAATCTCAGTAGAATAATTTTTAAATTTTCATAGGATAATTTTTCACTCATAAAAGGTGCATTTAAGATCCCTTAACATTTGCATGACAAAAAGGGGATGCTGAAATACTGTTTCAAATGTGATCTGGAATTGGTGTTTCCAAATTAACAAGCCATTAAGCTTTGGCCCTCAGGAGTCAAACTTATGGACAATTAGCTAATTTATTGGGCATGAATGGGCTGGTCACATTGTTGACTGCTGAAGCATTTTAAATAATTTAAATAGGACTTCATTATAAAACGTTAGAATCCTCTAACACTAGCATTACATTACTTATGTGGTAACCCCAACCTTTTATAGAACTCTCTAGGAGGTCCAGACAGATTAAATTTGTGCTTAAGGTCCTAAAATTAGTAAAGGCTGAGAGCTACACAGAAATTGCCTGTCTTGATCTCTCCTATGACAATCATTACATTACACTGTTAAAGGCCCTCCCGTTGATCATCGATTTGCTCGAGCGGGCCCAGTAACGTCTCCATTGGAGACTTTGTTGTTACTGTGTCTGGCATATCGAATACTCTCGGTAGCTTGCCGGGCTCTCACACTGTTAGGTGAGAATATAGTTGCTTCTTTTAATAGACGAATCTAATTTCTTTCATTTTGATACTGTTTTGGCTGCCACAGTGCGAACAGCCATACCCCAAAGTTCTGAGGATGTTGGGGGTTCTGGATAGAGACATTCCTATGATTCTCAGGGGTCTGGTGGGACAGGTGATGGAACTCAGGGCCTCACAAGATAAGTCATGAGTTCTGTCATTTGAGCCATATACTTAGGCCTAATTCAATATTTTCATTGCAGAAACTATTTTAACACCTAAAGTCTTAATGGAAAAACTTCTGTTTCTCTATGATAATGTGAACACTTTTATTTTTATTACTTTAATTTTTTTAATTTGGAGTGCGGAAATCCCCCAATATAGTGAGAATTTCTGAACGCAGTCTGTGACTTGGTTTCTGTCTATCTTCCTTCTTCACTGCACATCTCTCAGTTCTGATGAAGGATATTGCTTGTCTACCTCAGGGTCCTCATTCCTTTGTGTTAAGACCCCAAGTTAATCCTCAGCTAAATTATTTTTAATAAATCAAAACCAGGGGGGAAAAAGATAGTACACAAGTAGGGTGCCTGCTTTGCACAAGAACGACCAGGTGTACCTAGTACCCAATATGGTCCCCTAAGCCCTCCAGGAATGGCCCAAGTGAAGAACCTGGAGTAAGTGCTGAGCATGACTGGGTGTGGCCCCCAAACAAACAAACAACCCTCAAACCAGAAAGTCATAATGATAGGTAGGTGGGGAAAATATAGATGCTTTTATATAAATTACATGTGTATATATATATGATATACACATATACATGTATACCTTCCCCAGTAATTATGTTTTATAAATGCATAAACATTTAAGTATGCATGGACGTATATGTATAAAAAAAAGACTATTAACTTTTTTCATCCCCACCTCCCCTGAAGAGGAATATTAAAATGAGGAAACTTTAAAATTGCTCAAACTTTTTAAAGCACTTCCACCCTTGAGGCAAATAGTTCTAGAAATTGAACATTTTTATGAGTGCATGAGAAAGTAGATTCTGGACTCGCCCTTCCTCTCCCCGCACCCTCTCACCTCTACTGGGAGGTAAAAACTCTTTTGGGGCCTGCTGAGAAGTAGGCTGGACATTCTTGAAGGGATGGAAATAAGATTTTATAATCTCCTGCGATTACTCTTAAGTATGAATCATTTTCTCAAGGTTTTAATTTGTTCCCCCAGACCCTAGCTCATGCTGAGAGCCATCATGTAAGCATACTCACCTGTGTGTAGTCTTCAGACACCAGAATGAATCCATTATTGTCTATGAGATAACAGTTCACAGTCTGGAAAGAAAAGTGAAAATGTCACAGTTTGAACATGGGATCCCCAGACCGCTTTTATAGGAGCTGACGTGCTTCCAACTGAGAGAGAACCCTACTTTCGGTTCTTTGGGAAAATGAGAAATGCCTGCTGGCTCTAGGAGGCAAGGGCAAAGGAAAGCTAACCCCCCAGTTTATTCCACAAAACTAACACAATTAACACACCAAACAAGCCTTGAATATCCAGAGTAGGATAAGAAGACTATCTTTTTTTTTTAAAGTATTATTTACAGTTTGTTGTACTTTTTCCCCTTTCTATGACCTAAATACTATTTCCCAGCAACAGAATATTCAGAGGCACCCACGTCTATATACTCAGTAGTAGAAGCGCAGGCTGTTTGAAAGGCAAACACCAGCGCAATGCCATTACTCTAATGATGTATTAATGAAAACACCGTGTCAGCTCAGAAGACCATCGGGGGACCAGGTAATATTTTTTAATTTGTTCATAGACTTAGGCAGGGGGAAGGGGCAGCCTTCTGTTAAAGGGGCCCCTTAGGCCTCCTAAAGGTTTTCAAACTGTGTTTTTAATTGGGAGTTGGATTTGGGGGCAGGGCTGTTAGCTTTTGGTAGCTCAGACTTATAAATTGTTGAGAGCAAGGTAAACCCAAACCTCTGCTTCCCCCACACTACTTTAATCTCAAGTGAATGATTTGCTACAGGCTAAGTTTTAATTACAGTGCTGTGGAGTTTAAACTTAAGGTTTAATTCTGTCCTTGATGTAACTCAGTTTCTATTTATTGCAGCTTTACATACCAACGGTAACATTTAATTTGTAACATATCTTTACCCTGAGCTAAATTCCGCTCAGCTCCAGGCCCCCGCAGGGCTCCTGTTTTCTGAGAGATTTACCTGTCCATAGAGTTAGGTGTAGTCAGGCACCAAAGGACAGCAGTGTCTTGGTCAGAAATAACCATCCTTGTGTAAGAAAGCAAGAGAGAATTTGTTGAAGCTGTGAGGCCCTACCACATCTTTCATAAGAGAGATGTCTTGTTTGGAGAACAGCAGATCATCCTTGATAATTCAGATATAATAATAATGATCCCACTCCTCAGTGTGTATAAATCAAAAGTTGTAACTCTCCCTTCCTCCCTATGTCTAAAATTACTTTTATTCAAGCATGCCTAATCACTTAGTCTTCTCCCTATAACACTTATCTTGTTGGTTGATATTTCTTTGTCTAATGGAGTAAATATTAAAGAATTCAATAAATCAAATCATAAATAGATTATGAGTTCAACTAAAAAGCTTGAGAAAGTAAAAATTGGTGAATTCACTGAATGTGATATGGGAAGCTCCAATCCCACTAAGTCATACGTTTTTTTTTTAATCTGTCAGAGGTACTACATGAAGAAAGAAATCACCACAGAAAACATGAAAACATGAAAGGTATTTCCAAAGAAAATGATTTCAAAAGTGAAGGTCTAAGAGAAGCTTCTGGGAAAATTGGGTAGCTCTATTCTATTTGACCCTTCTTGTGATCATTCTGAAAAAGTCAAATGTGAAGTGAAGGATTCTATATTGTGCTCTTTCTAAGTTTATCAGAAACACACTCCCAACTTCCAGACTCCACAAAATTTTGTGTATGTGTGAGCATGTGTGTGTGTGTGTGTGTGTGTTGGTGTACATCAGCAGTTATAATCTAAATTTGCTTTTAAAAATGTATTTTCAAAATTCAAGTGTTTTATGAAAGTATTTCATTATCTACTGTAAGTTCTTGGTATTTGTCCTCTCTTACTTTATGTAAATAAGGGTCTCTGTTCTTCATGATCCCAGCAATGCAAATACGGTTAGATTGGCCAGTAGGAGACTCCCTTCTCCATAACCACCATTACTCATACTCTTGTCTGGGGTAGAGGGGATAGAAGCAAGAATTCTGGAGAAGGGGGAAGGCTTTTTCAATTCAGAATCTGGAAACAAGCTGTAAAACTAGGTAAAGGTAAAGGCCCTCCCGTTGATCGTCGATTTGCTCGAGTGGGCCCAGTAACGTCTCCATTGGAGACTTTGTTGTTACTGTGTCTGGCATATCGAATACTCTCGGTAGCTTGCCGGGCTCTCCGAGAGGGGCGGAGGAATCGAACTCGGGTCGGCCATGTTGGCCGCTTGTAAGGCGAACACCCTCTGTAAAACTAGAAGAATGGTAAACTTTGGAGATTACCAATTGAAAACTATCATGCAATGATAATTACAGAAAAATACTGTGATGCTCTTAAATAGGAGTGCAACAACGGGGGATCATAAGAAGAGAAGAATAAAGGAGCATGAGAAGGAAGAGAAGAAAAAGCAGAAAGATAATGATGAAAGGAGGTTAAAATGAAAAGAGAGAGAAGAGAAAAGTGAGGAAGAAAAGAAAACATGGTGAGGAAGAAAGAGTGTGCAAGGAAGAAAAAGGAGGAGGAAGAAGAGAGGAGTCAGGGGAGAAAGAGGAAAGAAAGAAAGAAAGAAAGAAAGGAAGGAAGGAAGGAAGGAAGGAAGGAAGGAAGGAAGGAAGAAAGAAAGAAAGAAAGAAAGAAAGAAAGAAAGAAAGAAAGAAGGGAGGAGAATAAAGAAGCAAAGGAGGAAGAGGAAGAAGACAGGATGAGAAAAAGAAGATAAAAGAGGAGACCACAGAGAAGGAACAAGGAGGAGGAGGAAGGGAAGAGGATAAGGCAATTGAGCAATAGGACATTATCACACATAATTCTCACTTATCATACTACCAGGTAGGGATTGTCTTTTTGGATAAAGGAGAAAACTAAAACGCAGAGACATTGTCTTCTCCAAGATAACAAAACTAAGTGGGACTCTGGAAGATTATCCATGTTCTCTAAATAGGCTTTTCACTTAATTTATTTATAATATACACAACTGTTACTGATTTTTGTTTTAAAAAAACTGAAAACAATCTTTAAAGAAACAAAATAATACTAACTCCTACAAATTTGCTCTACTACCATATACAGACAAGAAACAAAAGAAACCATGGTATATTTAGAAACATTCAACATCAGAAGCTTTAAAATCTGTCTGTAGTAACTCCTCAAATCCTGTAATGATGTGTATGCTGTATGTGCCTGGCTCAGGCCAATTTTTTCACAAAGGATGTGAATTCACGTGCTCTTCAACATTAATTTTAGTATTTGAAACTATCCAGAGTTTTGTATAGCTGATAAAATTACTTGTAGAGAAAATACTTTTTCAAGCAATGCCTCCCACTTTGATTCAGTAAGCAGGCATGCTCTCCTGGCCAAGTGTTGAAATTTCTTCTCTTTACTGAGTACTGGTGTTACTGATATTAATTTCTTGGACAGTGGTTCCATTTTTTTGTCTAGTTGTGTGTATATGTATGTATGTGTGTGTACATGTGTATGTGTGGTATGTGTGTGGGGGGAGTTCCCAGGTAGTGCTAAGGGGGGGTCCTCTCTAGCATTTCTTGACTGAATAGACTGTTCAGTGCTGAGGACCGAGGACTCAGTTCTGCTCTTGCTCAGTAGTGTGGGGAATTCCATTGTACTGATACCTGGTGTCTCCAAGTCTATACTTGATGGTATTTGGGAGACCATGTAATGCCAGGAGTCCAACTGTGGTCTGGTGGATGTGAGGCATGTACCCTCATTCCCGATCTGGTTCCCTGAAAGCTTCCATTGGCTACTTTTAAAATTCCCTTTTATCCTCTTAAATTGGGATTCCATAACAGAAACTAGGTGACAGAGGAGATACCCTACTATACTTGTTCTCAGTTAAGCTTGAAATTCAAAGTGATATAGATTATAAAAAAGACTTGGTCAGGGCTAAAGACATACTACTAGAGGTAAGGCACTTGTTTTGCATACATCTGAACAAAATTCAGATCCCTGGAATCATGTGTGGTCCTCTAAGCATCACTAGGGTTCACTCCTGAGCACAAAACTACAAATGGTTTCTGAGTACTGCTGGATGTGACCCCCCAAATTAAACCAATGAATAAATCCACTCATTAAATACTTGGTCATTGCAATAGAATGCAATCATTATTATAAAAAGATTTGGCCACCACTGCAATTTAAAAATCACTGAAAAGAATCATGGGTCAAAAGCAAAGATGCTGCATCACTGACCTTGGGCAGTGAATCTGGAGGGCACCATTTCTTCTCTTCTCCAATAAAAAAGGAAGAGAGATTTTCACAGCTTTTCCTTACCACTACTTCCACACCCCCAATTCATCTTAAGGTAAACATCTTGTAATGTCCTTTACTTAACCTCAAAGGAGAACAGATAAACTGAAAGATATGGAGAAATGAGAAGCTCCAACTTTTTTCAAGATACTGTGGCTTTACTTTACAGCCACCATTGACAAAAGATCTAGGGATATAGTTGTCTGAAAAATGTGAAGATGAATACAGCAGAAAAGAGGAAGAGAGCAACTGATTTTCTGAAACAGACAACTTTGTTCAACTCTTTGATGGCTCATTATTCCACAGAAAAATCAGATTCTGTATCACAAAGGCAGAGCAGGAAAACGAGATACCTGAGATCAAGTCTCAAACCAGGAGTGGAAATTAGGCAGTCCCAGATAAAGAGTCAGTGAAGGAGCAGTGACTGGAGTAGGAATACAATGCCCAGCTCATCTGGACTGGAAGATGGTATTATCCCTGAGGCTAGGATACAAGGGCTTTAGAATAAAGACTGACATTTGCTATCAGTGTATCCTTTTTAATACTCCGAGTCTCAGGTTCCTTATCTAGAAGATGGAGATAGCAACAGCTATTTCACAGGTTTGTGGAGAAACTTAAACAGGAGGGTGTATATGGGCTTGGAGCAATAGTACAGCAGGCAAGGCTGCCTTGGATGTGGGTGACCTGGGTTTGATCCCCAGAACCCCATATGGTCCCCCTAGCCCTGCTTCAAGTGATACCTGAGTGCAGAGCCAGGATTGAGTCCTGAGCATCACCAAGTGTGGCTCAAAAGCAAAAAACAAAGCATAAACAGGAGGAAGAGAGAAAGGGCTGAGCACATTATGAGATGCATGTTGTTCACAAAGTCCTCACAGCACAGGGACTTACATCCTCAGAGCAAGGAAGGGTTCAGGGGCACTTCCTATGAAGCTCTGTTACAAGAAACCTTAATCTAGTTAGTTACTCAGAGAGGGAAACTGAAGTCATCACATGGCTCCTACTAGGAAGTTGTTCAGGCTGTTTGTCTGAGCTCTGCTGCTTTTTGTTTTATCTTTTGTGTAAACTGAGTGGAGATTGGGAACATCTCACTTAGAAGTACAGTTTTGTGATGGCTGTTGCTTTTCACGCTTGATTGAAAAACAGAGGGGGTGGAAGACTGGAAGACGGGGCATGGGTGGGGGAGATAGTGAAGTGCAAGGCAGTTTCTACATCCCAGAACACTCTTTCCTAAACTCCAGCACTGTCCTCCCCAACCCCGCCTACCTCCCAACTTCGACACCACCACCAATCCCAATACCACTGCATCCAGTTCTTGCAGTCTGATCCCAAATATTTTATTTATGGATTGTGGACTATGCTGACCTTTTTCTCATATCACGTATAGCCTTCCCTACTAGGTTAGCTCCCTAGATAAAAGTACTGTTTTTGGAAAAAGAAAATATTGCAAAGGGTTTATTTGGGGATGAAGTGTCTGGCAGGAGTCACCTGTTTCCTTGCCTCAATAACTATTCCATTGACCCTCAAACTTCTCCTGGACCAGGCAGGTCTAGAAAGGAAGCACCTGGTTGCTAGAATTTAGCCATTTCCTTGGACCTGTCCTACTGCAGGAAGATCTTTCATGGTCAAAAGGAAATGTCTATAAGCCTTAAATGTCTGATCATAGTTATTAATCTCCATTCCTTAGGAACAACTGCAGTACTGTAGCACTGTCCTCCCATTGTTCATTGATTTGCTCGAGGGGGCGCCAGTAATATCTCACAACAAATTGTGAGAATTGTTACTGTTTTTGGCATATCAAATATGTCACGGGGAGCTTGCCAGGCTTTGCCATGCGGGCAAGATACTACAAGGCACTATCAGGGGCAATCTTGAATCTTATTGCTATAAGAGGAGAAGATGCCTGCCCATATAGACTCCACCCACCAGTACAGGGCATTCTAGTCAAGGCTCAGGAAGTCCACAGATGAGGAAGACAGTGGGGGTGGAGCAGATATAAGGCAAAGGATATCTGATAATTCTGAGGAATTGGGGCCGGTTCTTCAGTGCAGATTAGAAGTCAGAAATATGTGAATTTAATGAGTCCCACAGCTGTTTTTAATTTGACCTACCTGGTCACTTGAGGGCAGCTGGCAAAGAGGAGGGACTTGTCTCAGTAGCTTAATTAAAAATTATGAAAGGGAAATAACACATGAAAGAGTTTGCTGAAAGATGGAAAGGGATCTTGAGAGAAAGTCAGGGCTGGCTCAACTGAAGTCAAAACTTAGAGTCAAAATGGGAGATGGATAACAGTTTCAGAGTGCAGCACGAGAACTTTTGAATGCCAGATGAGGTGCATAAATCAGAGAAATTTTAATGCTTAATTTTCAAAGTATATGAGCCATTAAATAGCATTATTAAACCGTTCGGGAAGTTCTAAAGCACCTGCAAAAAGAAAGCACAGCTAAGCAAAGGGCATCCTGTCTTCTACTTACTGTATCTAAGAGGCATTGCCATTTGCTTAAAGGATTTATATCACTGCTGCCTGAGGTTCTGGACTCAGGTGAAACACTATGAGAAGAAAATATGAGGTCTCAGATATTGTTCATCCATACCTAACATTTATTGAGTGATTTGCAAAGACCTGTGCCATGCATTTTAAATATAGACTTCATTCATACCCATAATTAACCTGTGAGGTATTTCCTTCTCTACTGTATTGTTAAGAAAACTGAGGTACATCAGGTTTCCAAAACTTGCCCAAACCCACCCACAAGCATATTACTCTCGGAATCAGAAACTAGAACATATTGACATCTATACCTTTAAGAACTCTGCTGTATTAGCAGGGAAATCAGTCACTAGACAGCAAATATATTATAAGTCAGGATACATTTTTTCTTATTTTCCTGTATGATGATGTAGAGGCAGGGTGGTTTTATAGGAGGATTATGAGCTCTTGCTTATTAATTCATTGAATTGCTATCTATTAAAGCAATGGTTCAGTAACTAGTCAGTTAATCAATGCCTATCCAAGCCACTGTCTATTATATATCAGGTACTGATGATATTGAAGTCAACAAACTGGCTAATTTAGTTCTCTCACTGAAAACGGGAATTTATAATTGTTCCTTTACATAGGACTTCATGACGCTGGTTGATCAGTACTATCAGCAACACTGTTGGCTTGGGCTCAGCATTCGAATACATTTAAGTTTCAAAGACAGAGGAGGGGGTTGTGGCCATTGTTTCTTCCATGAATAGCATCCTCAAACTTATTGAAAGAATGTTAACTGTAAAATGTCCTGGTGTGTTCTTTCCTCAGGAAAAATTATATTGTATCATAGCATCATAAAAAATTTGCCTCTGCTGAAATGTATATTAGTTGGCTTTTATTTTTTTTAAACCAGTAGTCAGCCCTTTGGAGACTAATAATTTGTGTTTTAACTTTTTCCTGGATCCCCTTTTTATTTCTGTACTTAACGTTTCCTTTGCATATGTTTACTTTTGAAATGTTTTCCTAGTCTATGTTTTCTATTCGACACTGTTTATTTAAGATTTCTATATTCCCTGCAGTAATTAGAAAACTAGAAGGAATATAATAATATTGTGTATAAATTATAGCTTCTATATTGACTAATGTTCAGCTAAGGCAGAACAAGAAAGGTTACCTAGAGTAAAAAGACCGTTGCATACCTGCTTCCTTCAAAACATGGGACAAAGGGAGCACAGAAATGAATGTAGAAACACATGTCTGATGCAGACTTCAGGCAGTGGTGCTTTAATTTTCTATTGCTTATGTGTGCCATTCAAATTTCAGGGTGAGGGAGGTGGGGAGAGAGGAAGGGAGGGAGAGAGGAGAGAAATGTAAGGAAAGGGAGTTCTATGGGAATCCAATGACAGAATGGAAGAAATGCACCATGGGTAGAATTAAAAGTTTGCAATTCCTAGATTTTCAGTTTGTTTATTATATGAAAGTAAGCAGGACATTAAATTTTTCTGACCCTAAATTTTCTCATTTGAAGACTGAACAAAATTCTCTTCCCATTTCACTGGGTTGTTATAAGAATGGGAATAGATAATACATGGGAGCAAGCTTTGAGGCTTGTAATGTGACTTTCATATGACAATACCATATCTTATAACATGCCAATGTTCCAATCTTGCTGTTTCTGGGACATTTAAAGTTCATTTTTCCAGCTCTAAATTGGGGGGATTTTTTTTCAAAGAAAAGGAAGAACTAAGGCCAGGAGATAGCTCAACTTGTGTGTTTTGCAGGCAGGAGTCCAGGGTTCAATAACTTTCACTATAAGGTCTTTAAAGAACCACCAGGAGCAGCTCCTGAAGAATGAGCTGGGATTAGTCCCAGAGCACTCGCAAGTGTTGCCTCAAATACAAAGGAAAGAAGGAAGGAAAGAGGAAAGGAGACAGGAAAGTGGGGAGGGAAGGAGGAAGAAAGGGAGGGAGAGAGAGAGGGAAGGAGGGAGGGAGGAAGGCAGGAAGGAAGGAAGGAAGGAAGGAAGGAAGGAAGGAAGGAAGGAAGGAAGGAAGGAAGGAAGGAGATAGGGAGGGAGGGAGGGAGGGAGGGAGGGAGGGAGGGAGGGAGGAAGGAAGGAAGGAAGGAAGGAAGGAAGGAAGGAAGGAAGGAAGGAAGGAAGGAAGGAAGGAGAAGCAGTGCATATCTTTTGAGTTTGGGAGATTGGTGGAGAATCAGCTTTCAGAGTCGTTCTGTTTATGGTGGCAGCACTCCCTCGGTGAGAAGGTGTCCTCTCTCCCTTTCCCTTGGCCAGAGCAGACAGAAGACCAGGAGGCCTCTTACCTCATCATCACAGCTAATGGAGCATTTTCCATCCAGTGAGGCACACTGTGTTAAGGAGAGGCGGGAGGCAATGAGAAATGTGTTATCTGGAAAGCCCAATGTCCACAATGATTGCTCTCAACTCAACTACTTAGGACAAGCTGTCAACAATCAGCCATATCACAATGTAAACTTCATCCAAGAGAAAATTCCAAATTCATCCCAAGGAAGTGTTCTAAGATAAAACTTCCCCATCTAACTGGTAACCCCAATGACAATTTGGGGTGGCGGTGGATGGGAAGACCAGGCTCTGTTTTATTTTAAATTAAGATGCTTACTTTAATTTATAATGTTATTAATTGCTGATCTTCAATATTGGTATCATTTTAAGATCTGAAATCTTTGGATGATAGGAAATACAATTATATAACAATTTAATATTTTTAACACTTTAAGTTATCTGCCTCCCTCCCACAGTGACTTTTTAAGGCTCCTGTGTTCTTAGAATATAATTTCCCAAGTATTTTCATTTAAGAAACAATAGACCGACCATGCCAACATTTAGAATTGGACGAATGGAGAAAAATAAAGAGCAATTTCTGCTGAATTACTGAACAAACGAGAATTAGATTGTTTAGAAGACAGCTCTCACTAGGAAGGAATGCTCCCAGACTGTTCAAGGCAGAGAATCCCAGAAAAAGCCCTTGGGTCAGAGAAGGCATATTACTCAGATTTAGTGATGCAAAAACCTTTGAAAGTACAATAAAAAAGATTCACAAATAAATTGACAATCATCATAATATTGGGGAGGGGAAATCACTACAAAAGCCTCATAAACATCCCAATATTTAAATAAAAAAATCTCATTTAGAAGGCTACAATCTTGAGCTCATAATGAAAACTGTTCAAAGGAGAGCACTCCTGCTTTGCCCAGCACGTGCTGTCAAGCATACTGACAGCCCTTTAGTTTGCTGTAAAGTGAAAGGTGATCTGAGCAGCCAGCAGTTCATTTTAGAAACATTTGTCGGAAATCTGGCACTTTTAGACTCCGGGTACCCAGTGTGAACACCTGTATAATAACAGTGTCTCTAATGCTTCAGTAGGCTGACTGTAACTTACCTGTCTGCTGGCAGTCCAGAACTTCCTTTGGAAAAATTCAAGTTTCATCTGAATGCCTACAGCTGGGAAAAATTATAAATAAAACAAGGTATTAGAGATTCTTTTACATAATTATTTAAGATTATCATTAAAATAATCCATTGAAGCAAGGAGATAATGTAAGCATATCAGATAAGAACACTTGAAAATCAAAATTACAGTGAGGCATACCACTAAGACATTTTATCTTTTAGGTAACAAATTATCAAGGTTATTTGTATCTGGAGAACTCAACATCAGATACTGAATACAGTACAAATGGTTCTTTGCAGCTAGATTCCTTCGATGTTTATAAATATATATGCTAGGACTTTTGCTCTCTCCAATACCAGCTGAAAACATGAATAGAGAAAATAAAGAATATTCAGGAAGTAAGAGTTTCTTTAGTTTTGTTTGTTTATGTGTCTGAGAGGTGGGGAACAATTGATGGAGCATGCTCAATAATGCTCAGGATTTACTCCTGACTCTGTGCTCAGGGATTTCTCTTGGCAGTACATGGTTAACCATATGCAATGTCAAGGAACTGAACCTCGATTTATTGCGTGCGAGGCAAACAAATGCCTTAAGCCTTGTACTATCTCTTCAGTCCTATGGTCTCAGTTCCTTTAGAGTTTTTGTTTCTATTATTACTGTGTGAACTTGAAGTTCTGAAAAGTTATACATGTACTTTTTTTAGAAACAAAAATTGGCAATCAGTTGTCATGAGGCTTATACTTGGAAGTGAGTCACCTGTGACTTTATCAAATGGATTCACAGTATCCAGTCTAGCTGTCCTCTGCCCAGCTACACTATGGAATCATACAATTCTCTGTTTGACAGTAGAAAGTTCCTGAAAGCCAGAGTAATGCTATCTCTGGGCAGATAAACAGAGCTAAAGAAGAGGTTAAGAAATAATTTTCAGGGCCAGAGAGAGATAGAGGATGTTTCTCTCACACTCAGACAACCTGGGTTTAATCCTTGTTACCACATATGGTTCCCCAAGTCCACCAGGAATAATACCTGAGCACCACCAAGTGTGGTCCCAAAATCCAGAAAACTGAAAAATGAAAAAGAAAGAAAATGACTTGCAGCTTTGGGAAGCGGAAGTTAGTGAATCCTCAGAACTATGATGTGGACAAGTTTACAGCAGATATTTTCCTCCATGAACCCAGAATAATAGAATTTGTAAAGCATTTCAGAAAATGTTCAAGACAAGGCACACATTTCATCAGATGATGATTAAAATTCAGAGGATAAGAAAGAAAAGAATGATCAGGAAACACTGAAACCTGCCATGGGGCACATGTTCCCATGTACAATTTTGCAAACTACAGTTCCTTGCATAATCTTCCCTATTTGATTATAACTAAATGTCCCCAGTATAGTTATTTATCTTTCTACACTTTTTTTCTCTCACTTTAATACCTACTATAACTTCAACATAAAGTAATAGTAATCATCAAAACTATCATACAGGAAAATAAATTTACAGATTAATCTCAAAGAGATGCCAAGCAGATGAAACTCCCAGGTAGACTAGTCTTCAGACTGAGAACTCTGGGGCCTTCTAGGGAAGGCGGGGGTGGGGGTCAAGTCCCTACTCTGCTGAAGGCCAACAACAAAACCCACACCTGACATCATCCAGCATATGAACAGCCGGGCTTCATGACTAATCTGAAAGAGACACCAAATCACCAAATCACCAAATCATCCCAGTTCCATAGCTCCTGGATTGAGTGGTTCCATACATGGGCTCATAACACCTACAAATTTTCCCAATACTGACAGCCCAGTAGGAGCACAGCAGATTATATGGGAAAATTGCATAGAAGCTCATGAAACTCAATAAGTGAAAACAATAACACAGAAGATTCCACTAGCACCAAAAAGCTCAATAAATCTTCAGACAATGACTTTGGTAAAACCATTGTGAGCTACAACAATCTTCACAAATTTTCTTTCATAGAACTATTTTTTAATAATTCCAATTGTTGTAACAAGCAATATAAGGTTAATTATTTTGTGCCCGTTGAGGGGAAAGTTTTGGGGTGGGGGTGACAAAGGGGACATTGGTGGAAGAAAGGTAACACTGGTGGTAAGATTGGTGTTGGGACAATGAATGCTTGAAATGTGTATTATGAAAAACTTTGTAAATCATAGTATTTAAATAAGTTTCAAACATAAAAATTAAAAAAGAAAGAAAAATTTACTCAGAGCTCTGAAAATTTTACCTACAACCACATTAAATTTCCACCTTGGGGTCTAACACAGCACATGGCTGGGATGACATCAGGACATTGGAGTTTCTCTTGGTCTGTTGGCCTTAAAACACTCAAGTACATTTCCACTTCCTAAAGAAACTGCTGAACAAGTCCTGGGAGTAAAGTGACCTGAAACTTACGTACCTACGCACTTGACCCAGCCTCTGCTTTGGGACTGAATGTCAGATACTATGCTAAGACTAGCGCTAAACTGCATGCAGTTTGTCTGGAACAGGGTGTTCCTGAAATGTGTCCTTTCAATACCGTAAGTTCATAATTCTTTGCTCTAAGTGTACATAGCATGAGGGACTGCTGCACTTGTGGACTAGAAAACAGGCAATCGAAAACCAGGGCCACTTAAGTGGCAGTAATATTTGCTGTTCAACATGCAACTTCTGTTTTTTTGGAGGGCATCAGTCTGTGGCATATCAGAAGAAATCTGTTTTACAAGTTGAGGGGCCTTCAGAATGGGTAGGGACCAGTTCGGGCTTCATATTGAAGCCCGGCTTGGGCCCAGTACAGTATGAGCCCACAAAGACTTCATCAGTCAGTGCTTCCTTTTCCTTTAAAATTATTCCCTCCTCAAGGGGGGCGTTCTGGCCGTCCTTCACGCCCTACCGAGGTCACCAGTTGCCCCCCAGGAGCGGCTCTCCGGCATGGCCACGGCCCCAGAAGCACAAGGACTTAATGCAGAAAACCAGCAGCTTGGAGCAGAAAAGTGAACGGACTATGTGTTAATCCACGCCATCATGCCTGCCAGGAGGGGAAAGGGTGCTGCCCCATTCGCCATCTCTTCTCTGGAAAGAAGGCGGCACGGCCACGACTCTAGAGCACAGAAACCAATCTCTTAATTATCTGACTTTTAGCAGAAATACTTCCAGGGTTAATAAGTAAAATAGCAGAAATCCAACATTTAATTCCTGAACCCAGCTATAGAAAGCAAATCATTTCACAACGCTTTTTCAGCATGTCTGATTTGGGGGGAGGGGGTAAACTCTAAATAATAATGGTGCATCTTTTGTCGAAACAATGAATCTAGTCAAAGTAGATAGAGTGTTAACTAGAACTCATCTGCCTCACAGGAATTGGGAGGGGTGGGAGGTGGGGTTTTATTGGGGTTCGTGGTAAAAAATAAGTATTGGTAAAGGGAAATGTGTTTGATATTTGCATGCCTGAGACCTAAACCTGAAAGCTTTGTAACTTTTCCCACAGTGATTCAATAAATAAATTATTTTTAAAAAATTATTCCCTCCTCACCCCACCCCCCTTTACTCAACAAGATCTCTTCTCGTTCCAAACATGGGCTGATCTCACTTATTTGTGGTATGTAGAATAACTTGATTAGGGAATGCAATGTAGACTAAGATTTCAATCCACAATTTCAGATTTACACAGGCAGAGGTGAGAGGCTGGTCCATACTGAGAAGGGATTTGGACTGAGTTTCTCTGGTATCTACGAAGATACAGAAGGGCTTCAGAAAACTGACTTCCTTGCAAAAATCCTCCCAGTGGATGTGACAGTCCTGTCACTAGTGTCTGCACAGAGAGTAGCAGATGAATCTTTCCCTCCCTCTGTCTCTCTGCAACTCATTCCCCAGCAAGTCCAAGCCAGCCCTCCATAGCCTAGCTACAGGGGGCTAAGGCTCCAAGAGCATTCAGGATTAAAGCAGTAATTTTCCTGGGTCACCCCAGAGGACCTGTCCAAGGTGTTTTTTGTTCTAGCAGCCTGGGATGGATATCCCTAGCCCACCCACCATCCATCCCTTCATCAGTGACTCTGATCCTTTCTGAGCATCCCTCCCATCCTGTGATGGATGCCCCACTTTCACCTCCCTCGTGTGGCTAGCTGTTCCCTCCTGGGTGTTTATTCATCTCACATACTTGCAGCCTGCTATCATCTGCCCCTTTCAGTATGTACCCCAGCTCCTCAGAGTGTTTTAATCTTTCTTCATGAGTCAGTCCCTCCATCCCATTAATCATTTCAGCGGCTTCTCTCTGATCTCCCTCCAGCAGGCTGCATCCTCTCCTTGGTCCTGATGCCCTAAGCTACACACCCGCTTCCTTCACTCCTCACTCCCTCCCTTGTCTGGTTTGATGCCTAGGGGGTCCCAGACAGTCCTCACTACAATGGGCCTGCTCTGTTTTGATGTGGCTGTGCTTTTGTTGGCCAATCCCCATACCCCTTCCAGCAACTTTTTCCCAGGCTTCCCACCATACATCTGGATTCGTAGCATATTCACCTTAAAGTTAATACACTTCTCTTTGACTAAAAGATTGACAAACCTTTCATGACTATTGATCCAGAGACCTTCTGCCTGCTGAGCTTCTGGCTGAATGCTGGGGAGAATGAAAGTACATGTTCCCTCTCTGGGAGAGCTGTGAGTATGTGAGTAGCCAAAGTCAGAGCCCCCTCACCCCCCAAGAGAATTCTGCGGCAAGGCCAATGAGGCAGACTGGCCTGGAGGAGCTGCCTAAAGTTTTATGGCAGGGAAGACAAGGTCTATCTCAGGGAAAGTAAAACAGAGAAGTGAAATCATCTGAATTCAGGAAACAGAAAGGGAGAAAATAGACCATGTCAAGAGACCCATGTCTTCTGGAGCTTAAAGGAATGGGGGCTTGTGCATGCTGAGGTCAAACAGGAGGATGCCTGCAGTGTCAGATCAATGCATCCAAAGAATATCCTCTTTCAAATTCCATGTCTTTTTGGAAACAAATTCCTTTTTTAAAATTTTTTATTAGTGAAACACATTAGACTTACAAATGTTAGTGCTTGGGTTTCAGTT